ACTCATTTACACTCAAAATTATTTAATTATTTCTTATTAACTTAATTAACCTGGGAGTTAAAATTTCAAGATGTTACATTAGTCTTATAAAAAAATTGATCTAAAGGATTAAAAAGATTAATGAAATTGTACTCCATCTTCGGATTGGACTAGACAAGGGGTTGAACTTTCAGACTACATGATCGGGTTAGGTCTAATAAAATTATTTTAATATAATTATAATCATTTTCAATATAATTATAATTTTATTTTGAACCTTTTACGGCCTCTGGTGCCTTTTTCCTTTAATGGAATATCATGTTTGGCTAAAAAAAAAAAAACTCGTAGTGTAGAGATGTTGAAGTTTGTTGAATACGTTGTTATGAATTTGATTTCTTTAGATTGTAACTAAAATGTTTCTTTTTTATTTTTGTTAGAAATTATTATGAATTTATTATAATTAGCTTTTAATGTTTTTGATTAATTTTATATAATTATAAGTATTTTTATCATCTTAATTAAGTTTATTAGGTTTAAATAAATTATTACCTCTTATAAAAAAAGGAAAAAAAAAAGAAACAAAGTTAGGTACTTGACTATTGAGACTAATTTCCTAGCCCCAAGGACAATTTTAGTCTTATTCAATTCTAATCTAAACTTGAACTAAATCAAATTATATGAGTTGTTTAATCTAATTTTTTTTTATGAAAAATATCAAACTTTGAGCTAGGCCAAAGTTCTGCCTTATCCGTTATTTGTGCAGCTTTAGACTGAATGGTTTCCCTAGCTTGGTATAAATCCTAAATGAGAAACTAGAATATTAATCATATGAAGTCACGAACCAAAAATTTCTTAGCCTCTATACTGACTGTGAATTCTCGGACTGGGACACAATCCAAGCCAGGAAGCATACCCTACATCGCAATGCAAGCAAGCAAATTAAATTCATAAAATGCAAGGATACAAAAACACTCCCTTATAGAGTTATAGTTGGGAAATCGAAAAGGCCAATTTTTTTTTTTTTTTAAAAGCATTAGAAAAGAGGGGAGAGAGAAGACAAAGGAGGAACCCAGGAAATTAAAGAGCAGCGCAAAGAGAAGCTAGCAAGCTAGCATGCATGGATCTCAGCAGATCAAATAAACAAGGAAGAATGATAGGGGGATTCTAAAAAAATTAATTAATTTAAATTAGATTTTAAATATTAAATTTTAAGAATATGTAATTTAATTTTTTAATTTTACAACTTTATTATCATAAATTTATAATTTATATTTTAAATTTTAATAAAAATATATTATTATTTTATTCTTCAATCATGTTAAAATTTAAAAATAAATTATAAATTTATCATAATATAATTATAAAATTAAAAAAATTTATAAATTTTTAAAATTTAATATTTAAAATTTAACTTAAATTAATTAGGATTTCTTTATCTTTCTCTCAATAAACAAAGGGAAGGGTCTCCCTCTGCCACATGCATCTCCTCCTCCTCTTCTGCAATTAATCTGCAAATTCTGACATGAACAGAGCGATTGCCGATCTGTGATACAAAGGAAACTTCCACTATTTATATATTTTCATTCTTAATTCTTACTTCTTGTTGCCTTCTCTCCCAAACAAAATAAAAAAAATGACAATAATTTTTTTAAAATATATAAATAATAATTTGATACTTTAAAATATTATAATTCTTTTAAATTTTTAAAAATTTTTTTATCATTAATAAATTTATATAAATTATGACAGAAAAATCTTTAAAAACTTTAAATATCATTATATATTTTTAAAAAATCATTATCATTTTTCCAACAAAATAATATCATTTTCATTACAGGGCATCCGACAAGAGCCTGCACCGCTAATTAATTACATCAACAGGTTTGTTTTCTTTTCCCCCCGTTACCCATGCACACACAACTTCTATTGGATTGATTTACTCATTTGACTCTTCACCATCAATGGGTCCACTGCTTGTTCATGTTCACACGCGCACGAAATTTGGTAGACCTTGATTTCATAAAAGTATTAATTAATTTAGGCCTGGGCTTAAATTTGATGACTGCACGCTAGAAAAACCCTTGCAGCTAGGTTGGGAAAAAAAAAAAAAAGATTGGGTGTCCAAATTTAAGATTCTTAACTGGGAATTTTATGTACGTAGAAATAACAATAATAAACAATTGTGAGACGTCCATCGTGGTATGCCAGCAAATTAAATAAAAGGCTCATTTAAGTAAATATCAAGCCACAAGGATCAAATCTAAGTAATTAAATATTCATCTTAGTCCAGAAAGTTTATATTAAATTATATTAATTATGTGATCGCTTACAAGGTCAGTGGCCTAATGTCATGAGTATTGGCCAAATAGAGCTTTGAGGCTTTGAAGCTGTTTTGTTTTTATTTTAATGAAATATCCAATATTGCTCTATGCAAACATTGAAGCGACCCAAGTTACACTACTCAATTTGCCACGAAGAGTTGCTTTTGAGCTAAGATATTAATTTCAGGGACTTTTACTTCAGGACAAAATAACAAACCACTTCTGCGCGCTTTGGCTCGGCTAATTGATCACAATAAGATGAGTTTTTCTTTTTAATTGAGTTTGCATTATACAATATATTAAGAAACTATTTTTTGAAAAATTAACTTATTATTTACATAATTCAAATGTGACAACCTTTTCCTCAAACTCAAATGTAACCACTGGCCTGGCTGTTCATTTCGCTTAATTTGTTTAGATTTTAACTTTTTTTTTTTTAACAGATCACAGGTGGATTTGTTGGAAGGGGGGGTTTCTGGGAAAGAGAAATATTTTAATTGACTAAAGTATACTTTTATGCTTTAACTTCATACAAAATTTTAATTTAGTTTTTTAATTTTATAAACTATATTTTCAATAATTTAACCCTAACACTGTTAATTTTTAAAATTTATTTTTTATGTCAATCATTATTATGTTAAAAAATGTACTTAATATTTTAATATTTAAAAATTTAATGTAATTTTGTGTGTGTAAAACTAATAGAGTTAAAAGTTAAATGATTAAAAGATATTTTTAATTTTAAGGTTAAGATCCAATTCTATCCCAGTATTTATTTTTTAGAGCATTAGGCATTCTATACTCTTAAGTGGGGTAATTTTATTCCTAAATTATTTTTTTAGAAGCAAAAAACCCCTCCATTAATGAACCATTAACTCTATTGTTATATGCTTACGTGACATGTGTGTGAAGTCCACCAATGACATGTAAGACTATGACCGTATCCTTTATAGCCAATTTGCCTTTGGACTCTTTTTTTGAAAGCATTGAGCATCCTAACGTTGAGTATTGAGTACCTTGAAGTCTTATTAAAATGAAATTTAATAAATTTATTAAAATATTAAATATTTTTTATATTTAATAATTTAAATATTATTATTTTAAATATTCATTCAAAATTTATAAATTACTTTTTAAATTTTAACAACTCAAACAAGCATTTTATAAATTTATAGATAATTTCTTATTTTTTATATATTAATATTCAATCCTCTTTTCAAAATAAAGCTCAAATCATTACACTTTTTGTACGTGTCGAAACTTATTTATATTTTTAATATTGATTAAATTCCTTAGTTTTTTTGATCAACTCACAATCTTCTTTTAAAAATATTGTACTACCTAAATTTAATGTTATCTGTACGTTAGATTTTTAAGAGTAAAATAAAAAATATAACAATTAGGATTAATAAATATGTTTATTTAAAATATATCGCTTTTCCATCAATGTACCACACAAAAAGTTACTTAATAAGAAAAAAATGGAGAGAGAAGAAAAAATTCCTTCATTAATTTGAAAGTTCATTCTCTTCATTTTTAATGCAAAATTATAAAATATTAAAATATTAAATTAGGTGGTGTAATATTTTAAATAATAATATTTAAATTATTAAATATTAAAATACCTAAATTTTCACAATATTTTTTAAATTTATTTTAACAAGATTTTAGAGTACTCAGCATTCCTAAAAAAAAACTTTAAGGTGCTTAACGCTCCTGAAAAAAGAGTTAAGAGACAAATTAATATCAAAAGATATGATCAAACTCTTACATATCACTATGCATGAGCACACGCATATGTCACATTAGCATATAATGGCAGAATTAATAGTTTATTAACCAAGAGGATTTTTTGTTTCTGAAAAAATAATTCAATAGTAAAATTATCCCTCTTAAAAGTATAGGATGGTTAATGTTCTTAAAAAATAAGTATAGGAGTAAAATTGAATCTTAATTCTTAATTTTAAAACTACACAATTGCAGCCAATCCATCAATGACACATCATTTCAAAAAGCACGCTCCCTTGCATTACCTCGTGACATGAAACCTCATTAACCTTCATCAACAAGACCTGATTTTTGAGATCATCAATATAACGATATTTAAACTATTTAAATTTTAATTTAAATGATTCAGATATAAAGTATTATTATATATTATATTTATTAAAATAAAAATTTAAAAATTTAAAAATAATTTTAATAAATTTTTTATTTTTGATAAGATTTAAATTTTATTTGGAGGGTTTAATTTAATATTAAAATTTTTATAATTGATGTATATTAATTATATTTATTAATTATCTCAATGTATTCTACATAGTCCAGATTAACATCTAATTAAATATGAATTGTAATTTGTGCATGATATATCTGAATAATCAATATATAGTAATTATAAAAATTTTAATATTAAATTGAATTTTTTAAATTAAATTTAAATCAGATTAAAAATAAAAAATTTATTAAAATCATTTTTTAATTTTATTTTAATAAATATAATGTAAAAATATATAATAATATTTTAAATTTAAACTATTCAAATTTAAATTTAAATTGTTCGATCGGTATGGTTTAGATCTCATCACAGACCATAAGTACCGAAGCCAGGTCCCCGCCAACGATTTGCCCACACTCGGTCACCTTAAATATCGTCGCAAAGAAACAGAGAAGCACCCAAACTTGCACCACCATTTTCTTTTTCCTACGCCAGAACTCCTCTTCTTATCCATTTTCCTTTTCCTTGAGCTCTAGCGGAACTCGAATACTACGAGTTCGTTCGAAGAGAGTGAGCATCCAAGAAAACCAGACAGAGATATGTCGAGCGTCGTCGGCGAGTCTTCAGAAGCAAAGACCCAACTTGAGTCTCAGCAGGCCGCAGCAAATGAGGCCGTGACAGCGGCTGGAGGGGTTGGAGTTTATGACATACTGCGGCGAGAAAACGGGGAGGATTTGTTGAAGAGAAGCTTATTGGGTTTGAGGGCAATGGCTCTGCTGTTCTCCTGTATTGGTCTCATGTTGATAATCGTCATGGCGGCCAGCAATAGTGAAGGCGATGGGTCTGGTTTCAATGAATTCGAAGAATACAGGTAGATTTCTGTGACTTTCTACGTACCGGGTTCTTGATTAAGATTCAAGCCAAGGGTTTGTTGAGCTTGATGAATGTGGAAATTTGTGATAATAGGTACATGCTTGCTGTGACGATTATATCCACAGTGTACACAATTGGTCAAGTGTATCGTCAAGTTCAGGAACTTTGTAACGGGAAAGACCTTCTTCAGCCAAAGACGATGTCGTTGATTGACTTTCTTGGAGATGAGGTTTGGCATTCCTTCTTCCTCAATCGACCTGCTACAAATAAAAGAAGTTTGGGTTGATAAAGTCTCTGAATATGTAATGTGATCAAAATGATTGGTGATTTCAGATAATGGCATATCTACTGTTATCAGCAGCATCTTCAGGGATGCCACGGACAAAGGGATTGAGGAAGTATGGAGGATACGATGATAATGTCAATATGTTTTTCGACTCTTCAGCTGCAGCCATTAGCATGTCAATTATGGCCTTCGTTTGCTTAGCACTTTCAGCTCTCCTTTCTGTCTTCAAACTATATGTCCACTCACATACCTAATTACACCTGATCATCTCCCACACTGATACATATTATGATAGTAAGCTTTAATTTCCCTTTCACTCAATGATCTTGTTTCATATTATTGAGAATATGTGATGTATCTTTCTTACTTGTCTTTTTGGTCTTGTTTTGTCGTTTACTCTGGATAACTATTTCAGTCTTTTCGTTCAGATTGTGTATTCTATAAATACAGTACAAACATTTTGTCAGTTAATACAAAAGTGTATCATTCAAAATACCAAATAGTCGCATTAGGTCCTTTGTATGGATCTGTAGATCCATTGATTTCAACATGACATCAGAGCATCAGGTCGTGAAGTGGGCCAGAAGAAATGTTGCCTGTGATACTTGCATGAAATTACCTGTATCAAGGACCAAGATTGATATTCAAGATATGGTTCAAAGAAGACAAATTCCTGGACCCATCAATTAAAAGGTCAAGTTAGGAGAAAACATAATATTTAATTCCTGCATTTTAATTTACATGCGTTTTAAAATTGATCCCTCTACTTTTATTTCATTGTTACAAAAGCCTAATTATTGTTTTCTATCAGCAAAATTAGTCTCTCCAATGTTGAAGCAGCATTAACGGTCACATTTGCTGACAATTGACATACACTAACCGTGTTAATTAGGATGCTGAGATGTTAAAATAGTGATGAGGTGGCATGTTGATTCAGAAAATTGGAGGTTGGGGGGAGAAAATAGAGCTTTGAACCATCTACAGAAAAAAATAAATAAATAAATAAAAGGAAAGCTTAGGGCAAAATCTTGAAGGAAAAAGGTTCAGAATTGCAAAATGCTGGTGAATGGTAAAATCCATTTTCTTCTTCAATTTGGTTCATAAAGTGCAAGAAGAAAAGATAGAGCAAAAGAGCAGCGAAGGTTGAAGAAGAAATGTCTCCACTTACGATGAAAGCCATGTTTGTATATAATAAAAGCATAAAGAAGACAATACTACTAGAAGCAACAATTTTTATCCCCTGTTACAAGCATCTGGTTCTATATGGTACAAACAGTGATTTCTCCCTTTTATTATCTTTGATTAATAGATTAAAGGAAGGTACCACCGAAACCCATGCCAGAGGAAGCCAGGTAAGGTCTTCTTTATTAATCTCCACTTAACTCTACAACAACAACAATAAGCCTTTATCCCACTAGGTGGCATCGACTATATGAATTGTAAAACGTCATTGTGCTCTATCGTTTACCAAGCTTTTAAAAATATTATTAATTAAGAGATCGTGTTTAACAACTTTCAATAGTATTTTCTTAGGCCTTTATTTACCCCTCCTAACAGAGCTTAAAGTTATATGTTTCACTCTTCTCATTGGCGTCTCTCGCGGTCTTTTTTATACATGCCCAAATCATCTTGAATGATTTTCTACTATTTTTTCCTCAATAGGTGCTACTCTCACTTTTTCGCATACGTGCTCATTTCAAATTTTATCTTTACGTGTATATTCACACATCCATCGTAATATTCTCATATCTGTTATTCCAACTTTATGCTTTTGCTATCCTATTAAAGTCCAACATTCATTACTATATAACATAGACGGTCTGATAACAATATGATAAAACTTTCTTTTAAGTTTATTAGGCACCTTACAATCACAAATAACTCCTTTAGCTTTTTTTCAATTAAACCACCCTGCTTGAATTCTATGTGAAATATCCTCATTGATTTCGCCATTATTTTGAATAATGGCTCTCAAATATCTAAACTTTTCTACTTGAGGTATAATTTGATTTCCTAATTTTACTTTCAAATTACTATCAACTAATTTCTTACCAAATTTACAATATAAATATTCCGTCTTATTCCTACTCAGATGGAAACTTTTCAACTCCAATGTTCTTGTCCATAACTCAAGTTTACAATTAATCTCTTCTTTTGTCTTTGTTATAAAAACTATATCATCCACGAAAAGCATACATTTGAGAATTTTTTCTTGAATATGTTCTGTCAAAACATTTAAAACTAAGTTAAACAGATAAGGACTCAAAGATAATCCTTAATTTAGTTCAATCTTTATAGAAAAGTCCTTTATTTAACCACTAGACATTCTTATGCTAGTTTTTACCCCCTCATATATATCTTATATAACTTTAATATAAGCAATCCGTACTTCCTTCTTTTTCAAGGCTTTTCAAAGTACTTCTCTTGGTACACGGTCATAAGCTTTTTTCAAATTAATAAAAACCATGTGTAAATCTTTATCTTTACAAAGATACTTTTTCATTAATTCTCTTAGTAAATAAATTGCTTCTATAGTCAATCTACCTGGCATAAAACCAAACTAATTCTCAGAAATACTTGTCTCCAATCTCAACCTATGCTCAATTACTTTCTCCCACAATTTTATTGTATGGCTCATGAGTTTAATCCCTTTATAGTTAGTACAATTTTGAATATCCCCTTTATTTTTATAAATAGAAATTAATGTAGTTCTCCTCCAATCGTCAAGCATTTTCTTGGATTATAAAATCACATTAAATAACTTAGTTAACCATCCAACCTCTTCTTCACCAAAACATTTTCACACTTTAATAGATATATAATTAGGTCTGTTGGCTTTACCATTTGTCAATTTCATAAGAGCTTCCTTTACAGTCTTATCACGTATTATTCGATAGAATGACAAATTTTGTTCTCCTTCATGAGTTACTAAATCATTCGAGTTATTAGACAAATTCTTTTCATCATTGAAAAGTTTCAAAAAGTAAGTCTTTCATCAATTTTTAATTTCATCATCTATAACTAAAATTCTTCTCTCTTCATCCTTTATATACCTTACCTATTCTAAATCTCTTAATTTTCTTTTCCTACTCTTAGCAATCTTATAAATTTTTCGTTCTCCTTCCTTTATCTCAAGGCTCTTATAAAATTCTTTAAAAGCTTTAGAACGAGTTTCACTCACAGCTTTCTTAGTTTCTTTCTTAGCCATACGATACCTTTCCTAATTTTTCTCATTGTTACACAAATGTATGGCTTTAAAACAATTCTTCTTATGTTTGATTTTGTCCTGTACACTATTATTTCACCACCAAGACTCCTTATCTCTCGAACCAAAACCTTTTAATTCTCCCAAAACTATTTTGCAACCTCCCTTATCTTTTTAGCCATATCATCCCATAAGATGTTAGCATTTCCCTAAAATTCTCAAATTCCTTTGTCCAAAAAATTTTTCTTGAAAATATCTTGCTTCTCACATTTTAATTACCACCACCTAATTCTTGGTGCTATTATTGTCAATGTTTTTTAATTTTACTCACAATACACACATCAAGGATAAGGACCCTATGTTGTGTCATTACAGCATCCTCGGGAATCACCTTGCAATTTTTACAGAGTCTTCTATCCGTATTCCTAACCAAAAGAAAATCAATCTGTGACCTTGAGGCTCCATTTTTGTAAGTGATGAGATGCTTATTTCTCTTCTTGAAATAAGTGTTGGCAATTTTAAAATCATACACCAACGAGAAATCAAAAAGAGTTTGTCCTTCATTGTTTAGCTCTCCAAAACCAGAACCGCCATGCACCCTCGCATACTGAATAGCCTCCCTCTCGACATGCCCATTAAAGTCTCCTCCAATAAAAATCTTTTTACTCTGTGGTATGTGTTGAATCAACCCCTCTAAGTCCTTCTAAAATAATTCCTTAAGACTGGCTTTTATCCCGACTTAAGGTGTATAAGCGCTAACAATATTAACAGTCTCACGCCCAACTATCATTTTTAAGAAAATAATTTTGTTTCCAATTCTACTAACTTCTACAACGTTCTTCTTTCACTCCTTATCAATAATGATACCTACTCTGTTGTGAGTGCTTACTTTTTCTGTATACCAAAGCTTGAAACCTTAAATATTCTTAGCTTCTTCTCCATGCCATTTTGTTTCTTACAGGCATAGGATATTGATTTTTCTTTAAATCATAACCCCTACAATCTCTATAGATTTACAATTTAATATTTCAACATTTCAAATACCAAATCTAATCTTGCTCTTATAAACTAGCTTCTTTAGCCACACACGTCTAGAATGACATGGTAGTCCTTACTCATTTAATACTACATCCGGGCACCAATGCAGCAGCTCTAACTCACTTATCACTGTACTCGAATCATGCAGCGTATTACTTACAAGCAACGACCTAGCATTAGTATTATAACATCTATTGTCTATGTTCATAATAGATTCAATAAAATTTTACATTAGGTGTTGATGGCTTAACACAGCCCTCCGCCTTTACCCAAACTTGGAACTGGCTATAAACATAAGCGAAGTTAATCTCCACTTAACTCTAAAATTAAGATAATGAAGGAACTAATCCTAAAAGTATTATCAAGTTTGTTAGTTTTACAAAATGATATTTTAATTTTTAAACCTTTGAAAACATCTTAAATTTTTGAGAGATTAAAAGTTTACCCTTTAAACTCAAATGCTTCTAAGGCATCACAAGTCCAAAAGGTGTTCAAAATGATTAATCTACAATTAATCATACTTAACACCATTAATATAACCACTATAAGAAAATTTTAACTCCCCAACCCAACACTTAAAAATACCCCAAAGTCTTAATCTCTTGCATTTAAACATAAAAGCTTAACACAAATGCTTTCAAGGCCTCATAAGGCCAAAAGGTGTGTAGAATGATTAATCTATAATTAATCATACTTAACACAATTAATATAACAACTATAATAAAAATTTTAACTCCCTAACCCAACACTTAAAAATACCTCAAAGTCTCAATTTCTTGCATTTAAACATACCTATGAGTTTATTAACTCTCTTTAACTCAAATGAGTTTCATTAAATTTTTTAACTATCATGAATGGCTTCCAACCATCTCCAATCACTTCATTTAATGTCCGTTTTTGGACATTAATGCCACCCAACAACCTAAAATGTGAAATTCATAAACCTTATATTTAAATAATTTAAACAACTTTTATTAATTTCATTTAAGTTAATTAGTTCGAGCCCATAGCCCTATAAGTTTGAAAATCAACTTTCTACTACAAACCCTAACTCAAAAAGTCTCAAAAGAGAAGAAGGAAGGAAGAGAGGAGGTTATATAACTTACTTTTAATGTTTACAAGCTTTAAAATATTTTCAATGCCTTGAATCCTCAAGACCAAGTAGATCAAGAATCGAGCTCTTCATTTTCTCCCTTTTCCTCTTCTATTTTTTGAATTATCTCACACTTTGTCTTATTTAGAACACGAGCCACGCGCTGTGACACACATAATACACATTGCAACGGATGGCATAGAAAGAGACCTCCCTTCTTTCGAGTGATGTGTCATGGTGTAGGCCATATGTGCCGCGGCACATGGCACAACAATGGATATTTTGATTTTTTTTTTTCTTTCAAAGTTTAACTTCGCTCTAGACTCAATCCTATAATTGCAACCACAATCCAATAGGTTTATTAGCCTTCTCTAACCATCTTCTCACCCAATTTTACTTAAATTTACTTAATTATCCCCGAATAGTTTAATTAAATTAGGGAGTTAAATTTTGGAATTTTGCCATATTTGATGTATTTTTGTTTTTTGTCGTTTTGATTTTATATTGTCGTTTACTCTATATAAGCATTTTGGCCTTTTTGTTCAGGTTGTGTATTCTATAAATGGTTGTGTACAAACCTTTTCTTAGTTAATGGAAAGGTGTATTATTCAAAATACCAAAGAGTTGCATTCAGGTCATTTGTATATATTGTTTTACCCATTAAGTTAATTATACTCGTCACCTCAATTTCTATATATAATGTATGAAGATATTGCTCCCAATATGTGTGTGTCCTAACAAACACATTCTCGTTGTCTTCCATTTTTTAACATTAATAATTATTTGTCATTTCAAAAACTTACAGTTGTTTTGTGTAAATTTTTCTCCGAGAGGAAATCATTCTCCAAATAGAAATGGATAAAAAAACGCGAGAAGGAAGAGTGAGAACCCCAAAGACTCCTCTAGCTACGTATTCTCAGCGGTTTGCATAATTAATCCCACGATATAGTGAGACCGTACGTTAACAATGAAACCCACCTCTAATGGGAGTTTGCCGAAAACATGACCAAGGATGAAGACGCACAGGGTACAGGAGATGAAGATGAATATGAAGCGCAAGGAAACTAGAATATGTGAAACACTAGATAAAAATAAGAAGTATACATCATCCGTTGCAATATTGTCCCGTGGTGTCGTAGTTAGCACTCTGGACTTCGAATCCATCGACCTCAACTCGACTCCCGTGAGGACCTATGCATTTTCATTGCGTTAAGCCCCCTGCAGTTTTAAGCATTCATGATTCATCAAATGTGATGCAGTTTTCGGTCCTCATTATTTAAGCCCAACAAATAAACATCTGAACTAGAGGGGGGAAAAATACCAAAATAACCACCCTAGTTCTACTAAAACAAAAATGAACCCCCCCCAGCCACCCCAAAACTGCATCTATCCGCTAAAAAACAACAGCTTCCAACAGTTCATCTTCAGGCCAGACATGAACACCAGCCTACAATTCTAAACTAAGACTTGCAAGAGCATCTGCACGTTGATTTCCTTCTCTGGCAAGTTCCAATGTGAGACGCATATCTGCCAATCCCCATTATACTTGATTAAAAAAAAAAAAAAATCAAGACAAAATTACCCATTAACCAATTAATATATGGTATGGAAGTGGCAAAGATACATGATCGTTAAACATCTTCCTTCTTAATTCAAGGCCACCAAAGTCTCTACCGGGTTGTGGTTCTTAATAGAGGACATCAGACAACCGTTGTTATCAGCAGTAGAGGACATCAGACAACCGTTGTTATCCGCGCGCGCGCGCACAAGACAGAGCACATCCACACTCTCCCTCTGTATATATACATGTATTAATTAAAATTTAAAGGCCAGAAAAGATCCTCAAATTGTGAGACGCCGCTAAGGAAAGCAGGTTTAACCCTTTTTTTAAAAAAATGATAGATAAAAAAAAGTTGTACAAAACAAAACATTCACTGTTTGGAGGCCACCACAGGCTCTACGTGGCTGCTTCTAGAGCAGCAGGAGATCCGAGAGTCATGTACACAGTTTTGTTAACTCGAAGAGTGAGGATCAATTCTATTCCTCTGAGCACCAACTGTAGATAATCCATTTTGCAGAGAGATGGTAGAGATGATAGAAAAAAATCAGAATAAACAAATTATTTTTGTAGCCTTCTTCTCAACTTAAACGACTTCCATCAGATCCTCCAACTGTAATTTCCAACACTTGGGATCCATCTCAGCCTGCGAATGGCACGACAAAAATCATCAGAACAAAATCAAAATTCCTAATAACTAAATAACATTATGAAACCTATTTATAAAGGTTCTTCCGTATCGAAGTTTGGAGTGCACATCTTTGTCCAAGACTCCAAGTCTAACTGCCTTCCTAGGTGACACTAAGGATGCACTTCCTCTCCATTACTTTTGTACTATCCAAGGTTCTTTCCAGGTGCTTCCCCAAGAATAATAGAGATACACTCTCATGTTATCAACTAAGCTAACCCCTTTCATATTGTTTAACCTAACTGGATTTTGGCTCGTGTGTTGCACCAAGACTGAGCAGGTTGAAACCTGCACTGTTCATGACTTCTTATGAACAGTGTGGTTGCCACTAACTTTTATGCATGTATATTGAATTGATATTGATATTAATTTAATTGAACCTCAACCCCCACTCCTTGAGTTTGGTACTTCGGCTAAACAATTAAACATGTATGATAATCATGTATGCAAGTCTATTGTCATCAACCCAGCATCTCGTTAGTTACTGATTTTAAAATCACATTTGTTTAACCAAAATAAAAGCCAAGGTACTGACAAGTTCAACAGTACTGATTTTAAGTTTCACAACATCTTGAGAGAGGAACCAGGAAATTCATATACCTGAAACACTTTATTCCTCCACTCAAACAAACAGCCACGAGCTTCAACGTGTTTGATAAGAGGATCAGGGAGTGTTGATCTCAAGGAAACGTGGAGCTTCACTTTTCTTAGCCCTCCAAATGCCAACAAAGCAGCAGCAAGTCCTCTTGGAGTCACTCCCTGCAAGGTCAGAAGACTAAAAGTGTGTAGACAACTGATGCTAGCAAGTGACAATAGCCCTACATCTGTGACTGAACTGTATGACAAATTTATCTGCAAAGCAAAAGACATATCCTTAGAGTCTTGGAAGAAATTTTCTTGCATCTTCTATGTTAACAGAAATCCTGAGAATAAGAAAGAAAACCTGTTTTAGATTTTGGGACCAACAAGCAAGTGGAATCATCCCGCTATCATCAATCTTGTAGCACTTCTTTATGTCCAGACGACTTAGTTGCTTGCAATTTGGTGCAATAGCTGTTAAACCCTTAGATGTGACAAGAAGGCATCCACGGATTTCCAGTGTTTTCAACTCTAAGCATTTTGACAGGGAGATTAAGGAACCATCAGTGATGTCAGTACAATAAGCAACATTAATCGTCTCAAGCCTAGGGCAACCACAAGCAATTGCTGAAATGCCTAAATCTGTTATTCCCGTGGACCTGAACAAGCAAAATATAATCATTAATGAGTACTGACTAAGAATTATATACAATATTGTTGAAAACAGAAATGAAATCCTACCATAGTTTTTTTTTTTTTTTTTTTCAAAGTAGCGCATACTTTTAAGGAAGGAACAGAACAAAGATACTCTAACATAGCTTGGGCAAGTACTAAATAACCTAAGCTTAAAACTTGCCGTAGACTTATTTAATCGACAAGCCAAACCAAAATTTTCTTACAGCCATTTTCTCATATCTGCTAATGCAAATCTAATTCCCATTATTAATTTCAACGCTCAAACTTAAAAACCTTAAGCAAATCTGTCTCCATACTATTTTATACAAAAGAATATTGCTTAACTTCAGGGATATTACATGATAAGTTACATAGTTTTTCTAAAATGCATTTTGTCGGGCATTGATTGCACTCTGTTGATGAGCCAAATATAAGCCTTCGTTACAAGCCTCAATCTTAAAGCATGCTGAGCCTGCTAACATTACCCAGCAAATCTGCCCCAATGTTTAGGCTGTAATTTCTCCAAATCAATCACTAAATACACCAAAATGCGAATAGACTTTTAATCATATGATGCGGCTAAGGAAATAGCAAAAGCTTACATAATTGAACCACAAACCTGTAGAGATCTAGCTCCTTTAACTTTGAGCAGGACTTACCAACATAGGCAAGTCCCTTGTCAGTTATGTTCAGGCAGATTCCTAATTTTAGACTGGAGAGTCTGGAACACCGAGAAATGGACCTGAGACCTGCAGAAGGAGAAGTAAGGCCGCTGATACAGTAGTTCGAAATCCCAATCAAGTTAGGCAAGAAGAAGACCTTCATCATCAATTTCATTATCCGTAAGGTCTAGCTCCTCAAGAGAATCGCATTGCTGTCCAATCACAACGAATGCTTTTCTTGGAACTAGGGTACATGATTCCATCCTGAGTGAAGTGAGATTTTTGCATGAGTTCACAATGCTAGCAATCGAAAGATGCGTTATCTTGCGGCAACATGTAATGTCAAGCTTCCTCAAATCCTTGTGTTTGGACACAAGAAATGAGAGAGCTTCGTCAGTCACTCCCAAACATTTTCTCAAACTCAGCTCTTTTAATGACATGCATGAACTTCCAATGGCCTTTAATCCAGCAGGAGTAACCAGGCAGCCATCTAATATGATTGATTGCAGCATGGGAAGTTTATTCAAGGCATCAGCAAGAGCAAGTGTCACCTAAATCATTAACTCTAAATAATTAGCTACAGATGAAATCTTTGAGTATTTAGCTATAGAAATGGAGGAGAAGACCTACAGAAGAACCATCTGATAAAGTAAGCTGCTCAATACATCCAGAACAGCTTGTTAGGGCAGAGAGACCTATGTGGCTTATGTTTTGACAACCTGAGACGTCAAGTTTCTGTGGATAGCAGCATTAGTGAATGCATCAGATAACCGAAGAGAGTTGTGAAAAATATTGAAACACATATTGATGCAATCATATCGGATGCTTCCAATAACAGTATTGAAGGTTCACCATTAATGTGAATCAAATTAAGCTTCCTTCATATATAGAATGAAATATATAGACAATCATTTCTTCCCCTTTTCACACCCAACCAAATCTCCAAAATTTGGGAATTTCACTGATAAAGTAAAGCTGAAATTGTTAAATTCTTGTCTAAATTAAAACAGGAAATGGCATCGCATTTCCGCTATTTTTGTCATTATTAGATAAATGATTAACTGAAATTGACCAGCCAACCATCCACATATACCTTTAATGTTGTGCACCCTTGTTTGAAGACATCAAGGCTGTCATCATCAACGCCAAAGCATCCTTCAAGGACCAAATCTTCAAGATATTGCAATTTAACAATTGATGACAGACATTTACCTGTGATCTGCACAACAAAAACAATAATAAGTATTATTATTTATCCCAACCAGGTCACTACTTAGAAATAAATAATACAATCAAAAACTCGGTCCAGTTAATTACAAGAGAACAGTTGATTATTTAGGTAAGGTATTGAACTGGTTATTAATGACGTTTGAAAACTCAACCAAGATCATGCATATTACTTGTTCTATGGGGTTCTTTACAAAGAAAAAATGTACTCATGCTTCTGAACTCGGGCACTCGGTATCACATTACCAACTCCTCCGATCAACAATCATTAGCTCCATTAGTGATACCAACATGCGTAACACCAAGGCCATTTAATACAACCCAGCTAAATATTCCAAAACACTCTCCCCTGAAAAGCTATCTCTTCATTTATTTAAGATAAAAACATATGAACATGTTGCTAATGCATATAGTCAAAGGGAAACTGGAGTGGAAGAAGAAAGCTTACAGGCAAATAAGAGAGATCCAAACTACGGAGTTCCTGGCACTTGACTGCGATCAAGTCCACCCCTAAATCACCCACACCCAAACACCACTTCAAGCAAATCAATTTCAATTTCCTACACCCAACTGCTATGCACCCAATTCCCATGTCCGTTATCAGCTTACATCTCGCCAACCACAGCTTCTCCAAATTCATCGCCTGAGCCACTGCAGACGCAGCTGCGTCTTTCAGCTCCGTCGCATTGGACAAGTCTAGCTCTACCAAATTCTTGCAATTGGTAGCCAAACTCAACAACCCATTAGCAGAGAAGAACCTGGACCGCGAGAGATCGATCCGTCGTAGCGTAGCACTGTAAGCGTTAGCTATGAAGTTGAGGGAACTATCAGACACTCGAGGGCACAGAGAGAGATCAGCATGGGACACAAACGGGTATCGGTTCAAGATCGAAGGAAGAAGTTCGGAGCGAAGAGGCCTGATGGCTCGGCGATGTTTGGCTTCGATTGCGTGGAAAGATTTGCAGACTAAAGAAAACGACTTCTTGTCGAGTGAATTCGAAGAAAGGTGGTCGAGAATGGTGAAGACGAGCTCCTCCGAGAGAGAATCAAATGGGTTATGGGTCTCCAGGGCTTCGTGCCTTTTCATGACTAATAGAAAGATTGAGAAGAAAATCTCCGTAAATGCGTCTCGTTTTCGGAGGAAAAAAAACTACGGAAGTTCAGACAGCAAAGGAGCTCGCGCAAGGACTGCACATGGAGGCGGTGGGGGCGAAATCAATATGGAATTGCATTCCTCCGGAGTAACCGTTAACGGAAGATACCAAATGATATCCTTCTCTGGTTTTGAGAAATTTTTAGAGGTGAGAGAGAGCGATTGAGGAGGGAGGAAGATCTGAGGTCCTAAAAGACGAAAAGGCCATTCTCTTGTCGACATATTAGTCATCGCGTTTTGCGGCTAGAATTTTGAAAAGACAAATGTATCCCGCCCACAGTCCGGCGGTCGTTAACATCAAGCCTCCGAGTAATTTCTTATTTGCTTTAAAAATCGATTAATTAATCATCCTGCTTCGAAGGGGCTCCTAGAATATGACGCTTTTGATGCCTTCTATTTGAATGTATCAAACGGCTTTACAAGATTTTCTAAGCCATGGGCGTTTGAGCATCAATTTCTATTGAATTAACGTTTCATGTATTATGAATTTTTCAAAACAATGAAATGGATGCAATAATAATCAATTGTAATATCAAAATAAAACATACACTGAGGTATAAAATCTATAGCTGTAAACTGAGCTTAACTATTATCTAATTTGTTATATATTAACAAATCATGATTTAAATTCTGCGTTTGATTGTACTAGAAACAAGGAAAGCTTAGAAGATCTTGCATTGGCTCCAACAAAAGATAATAATTCTCGACCTCTGGTAAATAATCTGTTAATTCTGGCATCTCACTTTTTTTTTTAAATCTTTCTAAAGTTTTATCGCATGAAGATGTGACACTAATTACCCTACTAACCATATTTTTCTTGTTGTTTAATCTTTTAATGTTTAACTTCCTTGTAACTATTTTTCCTTTTTATTTGTTTTATATGGATTTTATTTTTTATCCAAAAAAAAGTAGGTGATTTGGATATTTTTGTTGTTTCATTATTCTAAGGATATGGTTTTACAAAGGGGGGAAGTTTGGGGAGGGACAGGGAGTATTTAGTCATTTGAAGGGCGGTAGTGACATGCGTACGGGCAAGGACGGGAAAGAAGCGAGCGGGACGGAGGAAAGCAGGGGAGGGGTAGTTTGGTCATTAGAGGGGAGGGGTAGTTAATCATCTAATGCAGACAATATATGGTGGAGGACTATGTGAGGAAGGACAGATTCAAGTGCGGACAGTACGAATGAGGTCATTTGACAAGAAAACCGCTTTTCGTTACTATTATTATATTATTATATATTTTTTCCTGTTTGGGAAATGCCTTTGCCTTTGTGCTAACATTTCCGTTAGATTTGATTTTTTTCAGAAAAAGATAATAATTTTTTAAAATATATAAATAATAATTTAATATTTTAAAATATCATAATTTTTTTAAAGTCTTTAAAAAAAATTTTATTCTTAATAAATTTATATAAATTATTAAATTATTTTTATTAAAAATAAATGATTCACAACTTTTTTCTTATATTTATGATTTTACTTCTTATGTTCACAACAATACAATAATAAATAAAGGATTTAACATGTGAAGTTATGATTTACTATTTTATTATTGTAAATTTAAGAAAAAATTTGTAAATATAAAAAAATATGAATTATTTATTTTCAACAAGAATAATTTAATAATTTATATAAATTTAGTAATGATAGAAAAATTTATAGAGATTTTAAAAAAATTATGATATTTTAAAAAATTAAATTATTATTTATATATTTTAAAAAAATTTATTAATATTTTTTCCCCTCACTTTCAAGACAGTAATAATAACAATAATAATCCTAGTCTTCACATCTTATAGTGTTTGAAATGTTACCCACAAATAGTCACCGATTAAATTATTTTTGCAGGAGTATTATACAGAAAAAAATTACATTCACAAAAAAATATAAAAAAACTTATATACTTAATGAATCTTTTATATATTATTATCTTATAAAAAATTCTTATTATTAATATTTTTAACATATTAAAATTTACTTATTTTAATTTAATTAAATAAAAATATATTAAGTATATAAGATGAACAACGTAAGTTTTGCCTAGTATAAAAAGGTTGTAATCCATAGAGTTTGTTTTGAAAAAAAAAAATTGTACATTTTGAGACTAGAATAAATTTGGGATTTTTAATAATTTAAAATAAATATAAATCATTAAATTTTAAAAAAAGTATAGTAATCGACGAAGATTAAGTATGATAGAATGGATTATTCTTTTATAACGCTATCTAGTGAGAGATCATACCTGGACATAATTATGTTTGTAAGAAGAAAAAACTTGCGAAGGATGAAAAATTTTAAATAAAAAAAATACGGTAAAGATTGAGGCGGAAGTAAAAAGAATACCGTACTCACAGATGGCCTTGCATAGTACCGGCCGCCTTTTCTTTTCTTTTTTTTTTAATATTGAGAGAGAGAGAGAGAGAAGAAGAAAAAGCACATGGCTGGTGACGTGGGTTGAGATTATTAGTGTGCGCGCGAGCGAGAGAGATAGAGAGAGAGAGAGAGAGCCGAGAAGAGGGCGCAAACAGACGCAATGAAGCACAGGCATTAAGAATTTAGGTCAGTGGGGCCCTGATACACAAGCGCAGCCCACCTTGCATCTTCTTCTCTTTCCAATTATTCAATGAGTTATCTAATGTGTCCGCCACCTCCTTCCTTATATTTTATAACTACATACTAATTTCTCTCTTGAAAAACAATTCTAATATACATTTATTACATTCCAAATTTTCTATTTTATTCATATTGTTTTCAAAGCCCAAGATATTCCATTTACTAATAGTATTGTGAATTGATTATATCACATGGAATCATTGAAAGCTTATGTTATGATTGAATGAAGCATTGACAAATGGTTTCAGATGCCTACCGGTTCATAGTCAACTGAGGAAACTAGTAGGAAAAAATCATAAACAAGGGCCTCCAAATGTTGCAAATAACTAACCAAGACGACAAAATTATGAAATAAAATTTTAAAATTATGGCTCTTTTTTGCAGTTTTAAAAATAACATGTTGACTAAAATGTTCCTATCTGTAATTTAAAACTTTCATATATGACCTTGTTTTTTTTTCTTTGGGATTGTTTTTGAATATGTTTATTAGTTTTTAAATTCTCAGTCAGCCTAAAGGGTAGCTTAGCTGGAATGAGCTTCCTTTATTTTTTAATTTTATTCCTGTTGAACATATGATTTTATTAATTATCAATTTATTGATCTTCTTACACTTATTCCTCTTGATTTAATTCTTATTGTATGATTGTCTACCATTTGAAATTTCTACGGGGCTATTTGAGGTACTGAGAGATTAAAAAAAAAAAAAAGCCTAGACTTAGAGGGATAGACTTGAGTGGCTAAATTAGAGATAATTTAGGAATTCAAGGCATTCATGATCATAGCTTAGTTATTTGTTTAGGATCTCTAATAAGAACTAATTTAACATTAGATAAGTATGACCTAATATACTTAGGACATATTCATAACAATTTTGTTGTAATTGAGCAAGAATTAAAAGATAGATAAGAAAGATTGTCTAAATTGGTGAATCTTAACCAATGATGATTATTGATTGGATAAATATTTCATCTTTTTCATTGCTCTTTAATTTATTAGTTGTTTCTTTTAATTAAAATTAATTATTTACTTTCTTAAAAGTAACAATGGTTATTACTTTCACTAGGATTTGACTTTTGAAATACTTCAAAAAATTATTACTTTGATCACATACCCTTGCATGAGTTAGGGGTGAGCAAAATAAACTAAAATTAAAAATCAAATCGAAGTAAATCAAATTCAATTTATCTAATTCAGTTTATTCAGTCATTCAATTTAATTGAATTTTTATTTTAAAAAAAATTAATTGATCAATTCAATTTAATTAACAAATTTTAAAATTAAATAAACCGAGTTGGCTAACTTATCATGTATACAAACATTTATAAGTTTTTATACATTGAAAAATGATATAATTTTCTCTGAGATAATACCTACCTCTAGATGCCTAGTTTGTTATTTGTCCTAATGATTTGATTCATTGAAAAGCAATTTTAATAATAAAAGAATCAAGAATCAAGACTTTGTGAGCTGGGTTTAGTCAAAAGTTATCGGCATTTCTGTGGCTAACAGAAAGGGAAATCTATTAAAGAAAATTCCCATGGCGATTCATGAATAAATAAATTTGTTAATCATGTAACTAAAACTATGGAGAAGGGAAAAACAAAACAAAACGTACAGTTCACATGACCGGAGACGAACCAAAACATCTTAGGTGCTATATATTTGGGTTTGAGACATTTATACAATATTAAAATGCATAAAAATATAGAAAATTCATGTATTGAAATTAAAACTCTTGAATTTATAATTTCTTTTGAAGAATAATAGTTAAGTTTAAAGGAATACGTTTTAATCTATAATTAATTTTATCAGAGTAAATATGTCTAGCCTGAACTCACAGTGAAAATTCAAAATTTAAATGGCAACAAGTTCTTTCTTTAACATCAGTTATTTAATTAGGTCCAAATTAAAGTGTTACTCTTGAAAATCCACTTGTTATGAAAATGAATCGTGATCTTCATGCATACATATATAATCTATGAAAAATCTTATTATTTACTATTTATGAATCACTGGTCTCATTTCTCAAATCTCATGCAATTTGCAAATAACTCATATTCCTTTTATTTAAAAATATAAGACATTTTTGACTGAATTTTACTGTCAATAAACTAATTATATTTTTTTATATTTAATTCTATTTAATAAAGCATTTCACCCTAAAAAATATAAAGTAATTTATTCAATAAGGATACTTTAAAAAAATAATGATTATATCTTAAAATATTTAAAATGTCTTATACTTTTAAACATCCAACCTTTTAAAAAATATTTTATATTTTTTAACGAAGAAAGTATATTATATGTAAGCTATAAATAATACGAGTTGTTTTGTTAATTTAAAATCCCAGCACAACCCCACTCTTAAATTATAAAATTGGTGAGTTTATGTTTTCTTAATTTGAAAGTCAGTGAGCCCTTCTGGCTTTAAAACTGAGCTATGACGAAACATTGAGTTCCGTACACACTTTCATATGTGTATATTGTGTTAGTATCTGGAGTACCATCTTTTTACTGCAATGAGGCACTGAGGTTTGATTACTAAAAAAGAAAAAGAAAAACATGATAAATAAATTTTACTTTTAATCCTAATAATTTTTTTTCAATATTTTTAATTTTTATAGTTTAAAAAAATAGGTAATTTTGTTTTTTTATCTCTATAATTTTTATTTTTTAATAATTTTAATCTCTATAGAAATTGAAAATGTTAAAAAAATTATAAAAATTAAAAATAAAATTCAATAAAATTATAGAGACAAAAATTATTATATTTTTTTTAAAAAATTGATTTCCGTAAATCATAGCGGCTCTCTTTGGTCAACCAAAATCAAAGGGCGCAAGTCAAATACTTGTACGGTCGTTATGTTTCTCGATGGTCCAGTACGCTTTTCATCATTGATACATTACGAGAGGCCAAAAGTGCCTACTTTGTAAGTTTGAAGTTTGAACAAAGTCGAAATTGTGGCTTGACCTTCATGCTTGAGCCCCCAGAATTCAAAGCACATGAAAACTCGTTCTGTTTGGTTTGAGGGAATGCTTGATTGGAATAACACTCTTGGTATATACTATATGGAATGGATGTGAAATTTCCAAAGTGCGCCCACACCTTTTGACCCAATCCTCTCCACAGAGCAGAGACTGCAGTTGGACCAATAAGCATCTTTTGTCACCTTCAACTATATACACGATTTTACTCCTTTAATTTTATAATTTTTTTAATTTTAATATTGTTAGTTTTAACAATGAAAAATTCTTACATTAATCTTTTAAACATTAATAAAATACTTTTAAATATTGATATATTAAATTTAATTTTTTAAAATAATAATTATTGATATAAAAAGTAATCATTTTTAATTGACAGTATTAGAGTTAAAGAATTAAAAAAATACTTTATAGGTGTGACTTGTGCTGGATAATGTTTTTAAAATTGGACCGGATATTGAACCAAAAAAGTCAGTAGTTCACAGTTCGCATAGTTTAACCGGTTGAACCATTGACGTAATAATTAAATTAAAAAATTATATATATATAATAATAATTTAAATATAAAAAATACATATGAAATTGCTATTTAACTTAAAAAAATCAAATATTTTAAGTTTATCATGACTTAACAAATCAGATGATACAACATAATATCAAATGATTAAAAAAATTAGTCATTTTTTAAAATTTGATAAAAAATAAAAAAAGTTTTTTTTTGAACAGTCTAGTTTTTGAAAACCGGATCCGATTTCTGACTTGATTTTGGTTCTCGGTCGGATCACCGGTTCAAAACGGCTCAAGCCAGCTCAACTATTGAAACGGTTTTTTCCTTTGAACCAGATTGGAAATTAGACCAGACGGTCGATCTGGTCGCAGTCTGGTTTTCAAAACAGTGGTGCTGGAAGAGTGATAGGTGTGATAATAGGAACATCTAGAGTAGGTGCGGTGTCGTTTGTAAAAATGAGCTCAATAGAATAGTCTATACTTTCTATACTTGAGTTATTGGGAAAAAAGTCAGCAGAAATATCTATAAAAATAAGAGATGAAAAAGAAGAGAACAACAAGAGATTAGTTATAGATGGAAACTTAATATTTTCTCAAACAATAAGCTGAGAAATGCAAATACAATGAGAGAGAGAATCTCAACAACGATAACTTTTATGCTCAAAATCATAACCAAGGAAATAATAGGCGCGAGCATAAACTTGAAGTTTGTTTGTCTTAAGAGATGGAAGAAGAATAAAAAAGGCACAAGCAAAGACTTTTAAAAAACTATAATCAAGAGGATAACCATGAAAATGCTTAAAAGAAAAAATGTTACCAATGACAAGAGATGGGAGTCGATTGATGCAAAATACATATGTTAAGGATACTTCACTCCAAAAACGTTCAAGACAAGAAGAGGAAATGAGCAATGTTCTAATAGAATTAAGAATATGACAATGTTTATGCTTATTAACACCATTCTATTGAGAAGTTTACATATAAGCATACTAAGAAATAATGCCCTCAAAATCATGATATTCCAAAGCATTATCATGACAAATTTTTTTGCTAACTTTAGAATATTAAAAGTGAATTATAGTTGAAAATTTGATATACAATTTAGGTAACTCAAATTGATGTTTCATCATATAAATCCGTATAAAATGAGAAAAGTCATCAACAAAAACTACAAAGTATTAGGATTATCCTATAGAAGGAGTAGGTGCAGGACTGAGTAGAGAGAAGGTTAAAACTAATGGTGAGAACAAAATATATATCATGAATAGATAGGAAAGGCAAGGAGAAAGTATCAATGTGTATAAGATAGATAGTAGAATTAGGTGTTAAAGAGGAGAAGAAATTTGCCTTACTTGTCATATGATTACACCAAACAGAGTTAAAATACCAAGTGGATTTATCAAATTATCATTCTCTCTATATATTATGCTAGGTAGGAAAATGAGATAAATGAAACCTTTTGTCTCTCAAATTTGTCACCATTATCAATTTAGTTCATTAAATTTAATTTTTATCAACTTAATCTTTTAAATTTATATTAGTTTTTAATTATTTCATATTATTTAAAGAAAAGATAATATTATTAAAATTTCGTGACGTATCTAACAACATATTTATGGTAGCCTTATAATTAATGAAAAAAAATAATTATTTATGTAAATAAAATAGACTTAATTTTTTTTAAAACAAGATAGAACAAAACACACAGTAAAATATTATATTAATAAAAATTAAATTAATTTGTGTGCTAATTTATTTTCATTTAACTATATATACAAAATATAAGGAAAAAATTGACAGAAATTAAACTTGAGAAACTAAATTAATAAATAAGATAAATTTAAGAGTTGAAAGTTTTGATATACCATATAATTCGACTTCTCATCTTTCTTCTTGTTTTTAAGATTTTAATTATTTATATAAAACTTAACCAGTACATTTTTTTTTAACTTTGATGTCATAATCACCATTTTCAAAATATTAACATGAAATTATTCAAATTTATTGTAGATGATGACTCAAAGGATCGAGGGTAGAGGAGCCAAGAGCGTGGGGAAAATGTAAAGTATCAATGTCATCACCCTTCCTCTATTGTCTATTTGAGACTAATATTCTCTATTAAAATACAAAAGACAAAAATACACTTTTTTTAATTAGGATAACTCCATATAACATAGTATTGAAATGAAACATCCAACTAATTACTTATAAGATGAGAACTCACACTACTGATACCAACCTATATCGGTCAAAGGATGAAATTGTAATAATACAATGGATATACAATTTTTATAATATTCTTTCCTCTCCGTACCATGTGCTATTGATGATAGCCATTTTTTATCCAATTCATTTCCTGCATCCTTATTTTAGAAGGAAACAATTTCGTTTATTTTAATGAAAAGCAAATCTTGCAACCAACGGTGGTCAGTCTAGAAAAAATGAAGCTAATTTGATGCCGTTTAAGTGTGTTTTACTCAGGTGCAGAGTTGAAACCCAACAGAGAAGCAACAAGTATCGTCAATTCCAATCAGGTGTTGTTGAAGTATCATATCTTCAAACACTAATTCTATGTGATTAGAATAATAATAATAATTAAAAAAAAAAAAGGACAAGGGTGAGGCCATGTTTGATAAGGTTGAAAACGAGAAGAAGAAGAAGAAATAGAGTTACCATGGTGTTGATCCTCGCGCAATAAGTAATTATTAATGTTACAATATGTCCTTTGGATTCTTGAATACAAAAAACAAAGCATGCTCACACTCTTCATAGATTGACAAAATGGTGGGGCAAATCAGACAGCTCAGAAACCAGATGGAAAAATTGTGAAGTGCTCCTGGGAACACCCCAGAGCGGAGGCTAGATTCCACAAGCCAAGCATACCTACATGACAAAAGATCACCAGATTAATCAAACTGAAAGACAGATTTTCATTACTCGTTGAGATTAGGAATGAACACTAAAACAGATTACAGAGTTCATCATTTCATGAAGTTTCAGCCTTCGGCACTACGATAGAGTTTTTAATAAGGGACTACAAAGGAGATTTGAACATCACTTGACATCCAAAACCCAGTGGCTTCAACAGAATCAAGACCTCTCTTGGTTGTTCATTGGATTCCCCAAGTCAGACATAAAATTCAGTTCTTGTCAAACTAAATTTAAGAAGGAAAAGACAGCAATTTCAGGACTTCTCATAAGACATGAAACACGGCGCAACAAGAGTAAGGTGCTAAACCAGCTAGCCACAAGAGATTGCCACGTAGGGATATATAACTCACCCTTCATAATTTTTAGGCATAAACCATGATTAATCTGCTTAAGAATCACCCTTCAATTCATCAGAATCAGAATCACTTGCATTATAACCTAGTAACGATACATGGTCATTCTGAATTCCTTCAAAAATTGCCAAAAGAACAATGAATCTGTCACCAATAACAGGTAAGGCAGGACTTACCTGGATGCTTATCACCGACTTTCCAGACTGAAGACCTAGTTCTTGATGCTTTGGTGAGCCAAATTCTTCCCTTCATTTCCAGCAAACGATTTTAGTCTTCAAAACCAAAGAACACAGTGTTCCTTTCCAATTCAAAATTGCACAATTGCTCGTTGTACTCGTGACACCTTACATCAACGAGTTTAAATACCACTAGCACTAAACAAATCTAGCATTAGAAATGCAAAAAGCCGCTTTCTAATACATATACATGCGAGTTCGTTAACACAAAAAATAGAAATGGGTAGTTTTGGGTTTAGAGAAACTATATATGCGTATATACATGTATCAGGGTATGAAATGATTAATTTTCTTTCTGATATCTCAAGTGTTACCTTTTATCACTAAAAATTAGCCCTCTGGGAATTCCTACTCCAAGTACGTACAAAATTAGCGGACTAACTTCTCTTTTCAAGAGGACAATTATGCTATTGAAGTTCAAGAACTGATTAGGAATAAATTATAATCCAAACATAAGACATAATCAACCTCTCCAAGCACTGCAAAACATTACAGTCTCCACGCAACTACCATAATCGATTGACCAAAAGAATCCACGGAAGGCTCATCGGAGCTAACAAAAGATGGCTTATTTGGTATGATCGGCTAGCATTGACCAAAGGATCTTCAATTTTCGTAGTCACATGATTAAGGTATCTAACATGTAAATGATTGCTATTCCAAAAGAGAAAGGCTGCTCAGAAAGTTAAAACGAAATGGCAAGAAAACGACCCACCATTTGAGCATCTCGGGGAATCCCATAACCGCTGTAATACATCTGACCCAATAACACTTGCATGTTGATATCCCCTGCTTTAGCCTCCTTCAATGTATCCTTAAACCACCGCTTAACACAATCCGCCACCACCTCCGACAGCGGGAGACGACCGGCGATCTCTTTCTCCGTTCTGTTCTCCATCCTTCAATCGTTTGGAAGATGGTTGTCTAAATTCGCACAAGCATAAGGTGAATTTCGGTCTTCTATTACGTGTATCTGTAAGACTAATCTAAAGATATCAACAGAAGATGTCAGTTTCAAAGTTCTCACTGTTTTAGATCTCGATTTTATGATATCTGGAGATCATGATTATTTATTTTTTTTCTGGAAAGAGCCTTCTATTCAAGATCAGCCAACTTGAAGAATTGAAACTTTACGGACGAGAAGGGTTGACTTTCAAATATGGGGCGGCGAAAGGAGCACTAACTTTCAATAAAGGACAAGTTTAAAATCCTATTTTAATCAAAACGAGAAACAGATTAACGCTAGCATGAAAAAAATGGTTCAAACTAAAAAATAGTCGAACGACTAAACCGAAGTAGTCAAACGACTCACAGGAGACCTATAAAAATTTCCGAAAGGTTATCACTCGGAAAATAGTCAACGCAAGGAACATATGATCAGTAATTCCCGCTTGGGGTCCTCTTGTTCCCAAAAAAAAAAAAAAAAGAAAAAAGGAACGCTTGATCATCAACATTTTTGTGTCTTAGAGAGGGTATGTTTCTAATAAATATCATTATTTTTTGCCAATATAATAAATACCATTGCTAGTAAGATGTTCTGTGAAGGAAGGATCCATTAATTCAACAATGTGACATGACAAATCTGAAGTCCCTTGTATGCTATTATAAGGATCTCACAATATTTGAGATTAGTATTTAACTGGGTTGCGAATTTAAGAGTGATGTGGTATTCAGTGAAATCTTGTGTACACTATACTGTCTCTTACTTCTCTTTCATTAATAAATAATGTGTGTCATTTTAGTAAGCGATCTCGGATCCATTTGATTTCCTGATTGGAGATGCATGAACTTTTTTTTTTTTTTTTAAAACAAAATGTACTTCATAAATTCATAAATTGATGACAAATGGCAAGAAAAGAGAGTAAGGTCCTACGCAGGATTCAAAAGATGAGTAAAAGAAGAGAGTCCATAATGCATAGAGATAGAAAGGGGCCCGGAGGACAGCAACCTTTAAGTTCATCTTTGAAACAAAATGTTACAATAATGTCAAGAATGAAGGCGCATCCAACAAGAAACTATTTCTCTTTCATATAAGCAATACCATGTCAAGCCACATCAAAATTCTTAGTAGACTGCAGGATATGATACAATACATTTTTCCCTTCCTCTAAAATTTGAAAAGGATTTACAGCACCTCAACTTCTTGGGAATCTTAACGAGGATGCAAGCCATCTTCTCCCATGAGTCCATAAGCCCATAACAATACTCATGGAGGAATATAAACTATCAACATTATATATAGCCAAAATAAGCACGTGTGGAACTTCATGGAACATAGTATTCCATTCCAAGTTATCAACACAATCTAGAGGTAGTCTGTGACTACAGCGAGGGTAGACAGTGAGTTCGGACTTCAGACCACATCCAAACTTTACCAATAATCCCCACATGAACACGATCCATCAGCAAAACAATGAAATCTGTTATTATCCCGAATGATTATCTGTCTCCCGGTAATTTTTGACGTAAGTTTAATGGCCTCATGACAATCGCCACATATACGGAGAGTTTTAACAACTCGAATCACATCCTTGTCCTGGGTACTGATTAGAGCAAATGCAATAGCTAACTTCTCACTGTGCCAGCCAAGTAAGTGTTCTTTCTCCTCTTCCTCTATGTCAAAGAGAACAAACTCTGTGGTTGGATTATAACCAGCTTCTCTTAGGTCTTTTGATAAACTTTGAAGCTTCTCATATATCACCCTTGTCAAAGGATGGGAAGTATCTCCTGCCAGGAACTCATGAACGACCCCATTAACTTCAACCCAACTACACCCACGTACTTTTCGCATCCCTTTCTCATTCATAGTTGATCTAATTTTTTCTGCTTCATCCCACCTGCGATTTGCCGAATATATATTTGATAAGAGAACATAGTGTCCTGAATTCCAAGGTTCTAAGTCAATAAGCTGCTTCAGCACATGCTCAGCCAATTGGGTATCCCTATGTAACCTGCATCCCCCCAACAATGCCCCCCAAACAATAGCATTAGGTTTCATTGGCATGCTATTTATCAATTTGTGAGCTTCGTCTAATAAACCAGCTCGGGCAAGGAGATCCACCATGCAACCATAGTGCTCGATGGAAGGAGTTAAAGAATAAACATCACTCATGCTCTAAAAATTGACGACCATCGTGGACCAGACCAGCATGAGTACACCCACAAAGTAGGCCTAGGAAAGTTTTTCATCAGGTTGGATTCCGGTGTTTTCCATTTCACCAATAGTCCAAATGCAGCTTTAACACTCCCATTCATTGCTAGTCCTAAAATAACAGCATTATAGACCACATAATCTTTTACCTTCATCAGTTTAAAAATCTTCCATGCTTGCACCATGCTTCCACATTTTGCATACATGTCAATCAAGGCTGTGCCTAAGACAAGATTAGAAAGAAACTCATTAGCATCTAAAAATCCCTGGCCCAATTTCCAA